GGTGGATCTCTCCGAGGGCGGGGTATGGCGCCAGGTGGATCTGTCGGGACGCGGGCCGGGCGTGGGGGCGTGGGTGAGGGAGGTGGATCTCTCGGAACCCCGGGCGGCGGGCGATGGAGGGAGAGAGGTGGATCTCTCAGGAGACGTCGCCTTCCCTCACCGGAGAGTCCACGTCAGCTACCTTCTGCAGGCTTTCCCGCGTGCCTGTTGCACACCCCAGGCGGACAGGCGGATAAGTCAGTCGTCTGACATGTCAGATTTTCGCTCTTATAATATAATAAAAAATCAATGCACCATAACTTCGATTTACGAACAATGACCATTCTTTTTTCCATCCATTCCGCCCCGAGTCCTCCCGCCCTGAGGTTGAGATACAGGCCATGCTGCAGGCTATTGCCATAGATTAGATTCGGTAAATCAACGGCCCAGACATCGTGTCCAATCCAACTGCCAACGCCATTCTACTTCTGCTGTTCTACGGGCTTCAGGCCGTACTCACACTAGCACCATCGTAAATGCATCTGACCGCATTTACAGCCAGGCGTGGATGTGCCTGGCCGCATTTACGTCCAAAAAAATAAGTGAGAAGGTCCTAGTGTGAGTATGCCCTCAGTGGTGCGAAGCCCACACGAAAAAACCCATGTTGTCCTTCGGGACATCTGCGCAATACAGAGAAGATTAGCATGGCCCCTGCGCAAGGATGACACGCATAAATCGAGATTTTTTTTAATTAAAAAAAAAACATGTTCATGTTCTTCGCCCCTGCTGCGAAATTGAGCCCTTCTTGGTCCCTGCTCCGGAATTGAGCCTATGTCCAGGTTCTTCGTCCCTGCCTCGAAATCGACCAGAAGACAGAAGAATCTATATTGGCTACTGTCGGGATTATATGCGGAGGGGAGAGCCCAGGGAACTATAGGTAGGTATATAGGTAGGGTCAAATACCGTACCAAATTGCCGCCGGACTAGGAAATGGAGGCCTTGCTGTCCGGCCCCTGACTGGACATGCCAGGAAGGATGCCTCGCATGTCTCCGGCCGATCACCCTTCTCACTGGATGTATGGTCCTCACACATACACATGCTTGTTTGTTTGGAGGCTTCAACTGGAACTCGGGACGGTCCGGAAAAGAAAAAAAGGGACCCGGGACGTACTGACAGCAATTAAGGCCAGAACTGGACGTATCTGGCCGCATTTTCATCCAGAAAAGTAAATGACTTACCATGAGGGCACGGGTAGGCAGCCCGTAGTAGTTTGTATGTGCCTGACTGATGAACGAGGCATCACTGGCCAGCTTCGAAAGCTGGACCACTGTTATCCCCAAAAACAAAGAAAAGAAGAACTGCTACTAAAATTGCCAATACCAGCTCAAACAAGCCTGAAGTTGACTTCCCAAATCTTGCATCCTGAAGCTGTGCCTTCCAAAGTGGCTTGCTGCTTTGTCTACAGCTCAGCCCCGAATCTAAATGCTCTTACCGCATATTCGAATAAGAGCACTACTCCCGTTTGTTTGCAGCCCATAGGATTGCATTTGTGCCCTCGCGGCATTTTCATCGTTCGTTATACCTGCCGTTGCCGTTCCCTAAATGGTCGTTGGAAGGTGTTCAAAATGCAGGCAGGGGCTTCTAGGGTTGCGGGCAGTCCTTACAGGCGCAGGACCGGTATTGGCCGCGGTGTCGAGCGCATCGGCTCCCGCCTTTTTTTGCAAAGGCGAGAGCCGTCCCGGCCATGTCACGCAGGAGATAAACAAAACAAAACCAAGAGACAACTCGGGAACGACGCAGAATAATCCCACGAGCCGCCGAGTCGCGTCGTTTCGTCTTCACTCTAGCCGGGTGCGCCAGCTATACATCCCGTGGTCCCCTACGACAGGATAGGTTCCCGCGAGGCATAAGTTTTCCTTCCCTAAGGGGTTGTCACCACCCTTAGGGGCGTATCCCTACTGAGCTACTGACCCACGTGCGAAAGCTTTTAGATGCAATTGCAGAGCTCGGTCAGCTGAGGGCATTTGCTCGTTCGTTGTAGTATAGATACGCTTTGTTAACGCCATGTGGACCCGAATGTCGTTCATTCCTAGGGCACTGATCTCCTACGTATGGAGCAAACATTGGTCGACTAGAACAGTTTCAACCAAGTGTGAAACCTAACATTAATCCTCGTCCCTGTAGACATTAGTCAAACGAAAGTTACAACAACCACACATATAATTATATCAAAAGGATCGACTGTAGTCAATAGGCAAATGTATCCAAACTGAAATGATAACTAAAAGGATTTAAATCATCATACATTACATTCAACAACACAAGATCAAAATAAAATCCGACCACTCCGGGTCCAAATCCACAAAAATTATACAACCGCCAACGAGGAGTTGGTTTTTCGACAACAACATAGATGTCGCCAATAATGTAATAAGTTGCCTTAGTTTTGGCTTGATGAGACGTGTTGCCAAACTCATTCATTCCACCAACTGCCGACTTAAAATTTAACACGCATACCTGTCTTCATCTGTTTCCAATCTTTTTGGATGACAAGCTACTTTGCGCATGATTCTTTATCAGGCGCATTGCTTGAAATGTTGCATGCCTTTTCCTTTAGGAAGTGGTATGTGGTACTCCTCCTCCTTGTCCGAGCACAAGACTCGAATCTCAGAAGTCGGGTCATCTCCACCGAATCCGCAAAGTACCCTCTCGTAGAACGGTCCACTCTGGGTCGATAACAGGGTCGGTTCCTAAAGCATCGAACCCCCACCCCAGATGCTTCCTGAAGAAAAAAAAAAATGTATTCACCGCAAGTAATTTTCAATTATTCTCGTTTTTCTTAAGTTCAGGGTAACTTAGACGAAAAGAATTCAGGAAAGGTAAAGAATGAGAATCATTTAGACATGTACAAGTGGATAAGGTCATTCGGGATAGAATAGGTAGACCTCATAAAAAAAACTAAATAAATTTAACTTTGTCTTCTTTATTTAAAACTATTTTTACGGAACTCACTGACAAAGTTAAATTCATCAAGCTTTTTCTTGAGGTCTACCTATTCTATCCCGAATGCTCTTATCTACCTGTACTTGTCTAAATGATTTTCATTCTTCACCTTTCCTGAATTCTTTTCGTCTAAGTTACCCTTAACTTATGAAAAATGAGAATAATTAAAAATTACTTGCGGTGAACACATTTTTTTTTCAAGAAGCATCAGGGGCGGGGGTTCGCTGCTTTAGGAGCCAACCCTGTTATCGACCTAGAGCGTGGGAACACTCCCGTCCATGTCACGCAGGAGTAAAACACGAAAAAATAAAATGAGAGACAACTTAGGAACGACGCAACATATTCCGCAAACCGCCAAGACGGGCGTGCTCGCGTCGTCCCTTCGCCGCTCTAACCGGGTGTGGTAGCTCGGCGGGGATACGACCCTAAGGTTGGTGACAGCCCCTTAGGGATGGTAAGTTGTGTCCCGCGGGAACCTATCCTGTCGCAGGGGACCGCAGCATGTACGGCTGGCGCATCCGGCTAGAGCGGCGAAGGGACGACGGGACCGTGCCCGTTTTGGCGGTTCGCGGGATGTGTTGCGTCATTTCTAAGTTGTCTCTCATTTTGTTTTTTCGTGTTTTACTCATGCGTGACATGGTCGGGAGGGCTCCCATGCTTTGCAAAAAGGCGGGAGCCGATGCGCTCGACAGCGGTCTTGAAAAAATAAAGAAAATGGCGCATGCCCTCCAGTACCTATCCCTGCTTGAAAATCAATTGTCTACCGCATGGGCGCACGGAACGAAGCCTTAAGGGATTATGTTTCTTTGTTTTTATTTAAGAAAGAGAGAGAGAAGGTGGGGGGTGCTGATGACTTCCTTTTCTGTGCAGCCTTTCTGCTCCAAACACATGTTGGAACTCACCATGAGGGTTGCGAATTGTGAGTTTGACCCAATAAGAGAAAGCAATGAGACTAAGCGTGCATGCAAGAGAGAGAGAGAGAGAGAGAGAGAGAGAGAGAGAGAGAGAGAGAGAGAGAGGGGGGGGGGGTTTATTGATAAGAGAGAGAGAGAGAGAGATTAAAAAAGAGAGAGAGAGACAGGGAGAGAGAGAGAGGGGGGGGGGGGGGGGGGGGTCCTACCACAAAGAAAGAGAGGCTGAATGACAAAATTGAAAATAGGTTAAATTGTTGCCTCGATCTATTTCGAGGTCGAAATGATTTTTATTTATTTATTTAATAATATTCCTTGAAAGATCACAATTGGGATTACGTATCTTTGGGGGGCTTATGTGTTCCCTTTCGGTGCAGCCTCTATGCTGCAAACACAGATGCTTGAACCCGCCATACCGCACCCTTAGGGTTGCGAATTGTGAGTTTGGTCCAATGAGCGGAGACAATGAGGGAGGCTAAGCGCACGCGCAAGAGAGAGAGAGAGAGAGAGAGAGAGGTAAGGGGGGGGGCAAGAGGAGGGGCAAGTGCGGGGCCTGTCTCTTATACACATCTAGATGTGTATAGAGAGCCTGCATTGGGTTATGCTGTTGGTGTTGCCCAGTTGGGCTTGGACATTGACTCACGATTCTTCTGTATCGTTCTCAAATGGATGGTTACTTGGTTCCACTGTGCTATCTGCTCTTGCTTTGACTACTTGGACTTCAGTGTGATTTTGCAATCTGGATTTCTGTGCTTCGTCCACATTCATGTTCCTTGCACCAGGCAAAGGTCAGCAATAAATAAATAAATAAGCAAATGCTGAAAACGAGAGCCTGCATGGCACCAGAAAGGTGCCTTGGCCTGGAACATGGCTGTGGGCCTCCCGGTAGCGTGCCTGGAATGGGCGCGCGGCCTAGGGGCCCTCATCAACCGTCGGGCCCCCAAAATGGGGCCCGTGTGCAGGTGCAGCCTGCAACAGAGGGTGTGAATAGGACAGCCCTTGACACACAGGTGGGTACATATCATGATCTCAATTATCACGTTTTTGTTTGATAGGTATTGGCCGTTCAAGAAACAAGATGCTGCACAGTTCACAACATAACTTACCGCTGTCTCCACATTGGAGTCGAGGAGTCTGTCAGCCACGAGATGCATCAGATCCTCAAGCAAGATCTCTGATGGCTCCCCACGAATAGAAATGGTATTGCGAAGCAACATCACATTTGCTGCACCAAAACAACACCCCAAACACGCACACAAACACGCACACAAACACATACACGCGCACACACACACACACACACAGAAACACAAAAAGAAAGCCGTGTAAGATAGAATCCACAACCAAGAAGACTAGGATGATAAGACTTGAGACAGAAAGACAGTAAGGGATGGGAGACTGAGCCTGCCTTTCGACACCACCTCTCCCGATCATTTCCAAAGAGAGTCAAGCGAGGAAAGCAGACTGAGGGAGTAGGCAAGAGGGAGGGGTTTCCTCATCATTTAATTCCATTGTATGTTTCAACCAGCTTTTCTCCAATGGGACCAAACATCTAACTGTTCGATCCCAGCTCCCATCCATCTTTCTCAGCTTCAATATCCAAACCGCAAACAATGCTCCTCCACGAAGGCAAAGTTCCGAGGAGAAGAGATGGAGAGATGTTGGGGGGGGGGGGGGGGGGGGGGGGGGGGGGGGGGGGGGGGGGGGGGGGGGGGGGGGGGGGGGGAGGGGTAATTACCACTAAACGAAAGACAGCTGTGATCGTCTCTCTGACGATCCGGCTCCACTTGTCCATACCCTGAGGTGCTATCTAAGCGTGAAGCTGGTATGACGTGCAGAGCGAAAGGTGCACGCTGTGCTGTTTTTTTATGTAATCGTTTGCGTGTGCAGGAGCGCGACTTGGCCAGTGCTTGTCATTATTCCGACGGCCAGACCAGGGTCAGTGCAACCCAATCCAGAAAAGTTCTTACCAGCATGTGGGACATCACCCTGAAATTAACCATCATTCATTTCCTCAGGGGGAAATCCATGCGCACTACAACTCCAATCCCACCTGCGCGGCCAATCCCACCGGACGGTTGCTCCCCAGAATGGCAGGAGCCATCCAAGCGATTTAAGCTATACTGTGCTCCCCCGAACAGAATGCACAGTCATCATGGCCGTATCGGAGCAACTTCCGGTCTAGGTACAGCGATAATGACCATGCGTTCTATGGGGGGGACGACGGTAGGCAGGATCGCTTTTGGGTGTGCGTCTGCGCTCCACTACTCCCCAAATGTGCAAATTTAGAATGAATCTTAGGCTAGAAGATGGAAAGATACACCGCCATAATCTTTTGTGCATGTGGAGAGTAGTGCAGCGTGTGTGTTTGCGTTTTAGTCTGCGTGTCCGAGTAAGGGTGTACTCACACTAGCAGTATCTCAAACGTATCTTACCGCATTATTGCAGCGTGTGTGTTTGCGTTTTAGTCTGCGTGTCCGTGTAAGGACACACTCACACTAGCAGTATCTCAAATGTATCTTACCGCATTCACGGCCATGCACGGATGCATCTGGCAGCCCAGAACTGCGTTAAAAAGTCGTTGTCTGAGGATGCCGTAAGAGAGGAAGATCGACATGTAAGGACGTGGGCGGACAAGGACGCCCCCCCCTTTGCTCGCGAGCGCGCGCGCATGCGCGCGCGCGCGCGCGCGCGAGAGAGAGAGAGAGAGAGAGAGAGAGAGACGTCCCTGTCCTGCCTCCGTGCGTACTCATCACATCAGGCGGACCGTGGCCAACGACCGGTTGGTAACCACGGGAGCATCTGGCAACGAACGAGCCAGCACAAGCATCTGTGTTGGGGATGCGCCCCCCCCCCCCCCCCCCCCCCCCCCCCCCCCCCCCCTCCCCCCACCCCCCCCCCCCCCCCCCTCTCCCCCCCCCCCCCCCCCCCCCACCCCCCCACTCTCCTCCCTCACCTCACCCCACCCCACCCCAACCCAATCCAACCTCAACCAACCCAACCCAACTCAACCCAACCATGTCACCATGCCAAGCTCCTCGCACACTCGTCACTCAAATCTTATCATTATCATCATCGCTATATCTTCTCTTCCTTGAGGCAATTGTTGGCCTTTTTCTTACCATTTCTGAGTTCGATGAGCCCGTTACCCACCCTCTTCTCCCGTGCACAACACCCTGATCATGAATGCATACAAGCACCCTGATCTTGTTACGCTACTACTATATATAGACATAATGAGGGTGCGTTACGTTGCCTTGCGTTGTATTCGAGGGAGACGGTAGTCCCCTGATGACCACCACCGACGGTGGGCACGCAACCCATTGAGAGATACATGCGCACAAGAGCTGAGAAGACGGGAATGCCTACTTCTTTTTATACCCCCCCCACTCACATGACCGACCATACTATACATGCTTTCACGTTGAACAATTTCCATATTTCATTTCAATTTCAATTTCAATACAATGTTTATTCCCGAACTGAGCTGAGACAGCTCGCTACTTCGGCCTTTTGGCTAAGA